TGATTTCAATAATAACAAATTGTTATGTTTGACCATAACATCGTGGCACAGGCAAATAAATTTTTTCTATACTCTCACACTTAATTCTGTCAAGTTTCTTAAATAACACACAAGCTTTTGCGAACATCATCAATGTCATTTTCGAACATTTTTTCTATTATTTTGCAGGGACAACTGGCAAAGCTCCTGCCTATAGTGTGGTAAGCCTTAAAAGATAGACGGTTCGGATCACTAAAATACATTACAAAGTGAGTTCCTAAAATACATGTATAAAAAATTATGTAGAAAAAAAGTGCTACTGCTCCATCCCATATATATATATATATATTGTTCCTGCAATTGGTATATTACCAAGCATCTAAATATATGAAGACATTGAATGATCTTTCAAGTGCATATATATGAACAAATGTCGTAAGATTTTGTGATGGGTAAAAAATCACCAAACATTTCAAAAGGAGTATAAAATGGTCATGAAACTTTATGGCATGCCATCAATTATAACTCCAATTCTTTCTTTTCAAAATCATGGTCACAGTCACTCCCATTAACCCAGTTGCACCCAATTTTCGGTATGCATAATGACTCTTACCCCATCAATCAAGAACGTGAAACCATTTAAGGAGAACTTTTTTTACTCTTCTTTCCTAAGTGTTAAATTGTAAGGGGTATATATGAGAACATTACTCAAAGTTGATCGATTTGACAGAACGTGGTGCCACTATTTCCCAATAAACTGAGTGAAAGGTTGCTTCCATTACCAAGGGAGGCACATTGTTTGGACGTGCATGCAAGATCAAATCGTGATACAGTAGGTTCAGTGGATATCTCAAATTCGAATTTCTTTATCTAATCCGAAGTTATTGAATTCCCGTCCCTCTCCATGGGCTCCTGTGATATAAGAAATAGAAGCAAAAAAGGACACTCGTTAGTCCTAGTTTCATTTCATATAGTATACAATATTATAAGTTAAATATCAACATTGATCATAAAAAGGAAACCAGACACACAACTAGTCACTTGATCAAGAAGGAAATTTACCAAGAAGAATTTCGGAAAAATTGATCAGTTTCTGCTAAAGCATTTTGTTGATATGTTTGCCTACATTAATTTCTAGTTCCCGAAAGACTTTGAATTGCCAAATTATTTAAACCTGAAAATCCAAATACTTATTTATAGTTTTTTTTAGTATATTGATATTTTTACACTAGGGAGATGAGGAGTTCGGCTAACCACATACAATAACCTTTTTGGAAGATAGCCTTGAAATGTACTTTATATTTCTTTTTTCTTTTTTCTTTTTTTTTTTGTCGAAAATGTACTTTATATTTCATTTGCAGATACTCAGATCTACTTCATTTCATGTTCGGACATTATCTTAATTTGTGATAAAATTATATGGGCTAATCACATGTTACCCCCTCCCCTCTTCCGTTTAACGTAAACTTTAAAATGGCTCAATTTTTCATATTACACTCTAAAGTTGACATTTAATCAATTTATATCCTTCATTTATTTGATCATATGATACTCTGTTAGGTTAATGATGTGATAAATATAGAACTTGTTTTAAGGCTAACTAGCTATATGTGTCACATTACACCATTGTATTTGTGATTGATTGTCGTTTTGAAATATGAAGCAATGATTGAGTAGAAACCGAATCTTGGCTAAGGCTTCAGGCTTCATAATGACTAGTTTTCATCCATGTAGTTCACCTGTAGTTCGCACATCAACCAATATATTGGTCCTAATTTTTTAACTTCATCAATTTAATGAACAACCAAACAATCAAACAACCAGAGACATGGATTGAAACGGCTTAAAAATATTATGGAGCAACGGGAGAAAATTGAAAACTGTTGATTCATTTTGAAAAGGAGAAATTAGGTTTTCATTCCTTTTTTTTTTTTTTTTGCTACTCCATTAATTAAAATCTTACTATTTTTCAATTTTTGATCAATGTCCTTATGTATTAATAAACGCCATTAATTATTTCAATAATAAAATAGTTTTTTATTTCTAAATATATTCATTTAGTGTTACAAATGGTACATTTGGTATATTTATATTTAGCCATGCTAAATTTTTTATCATATATTTTTATTTTTAGTTTGTACCTTTTTTTAATTTGCTACCCTTTTTTAATTTGTACCAATTTTCTTTTCAGTTTTAATTTGTACCCATATATTAATTTCTTTTTGTGCCCATATATTTTAAAATGCTATTTGTATTTGTACCCATATTTTTTAATTTATAGGTACCCATTTTTAATTTTGCTAAATGTATCCATACTAATTATATGTATTTATTTTATGTTTTAAAATATATTAGTAGTTATTTTTTAAAATATGTTAATAATTATGTGGGTTGGGTACATTATTTTCTTGCTATAATTTTGTGAAGAAGTATTTATTATATTTCAAAAATATTATTTGAATTTGTGTATATTTCATAATTTGTGGGATATTAAATGCATAACTGCATGACTTAAATATCTTAATTAATGTTAAGGACCTCGATCAAAATATTTAAACAAACAAGGTTTCAGACCAACAATTAGGTTGATTAGGGATCGGAACCAAAATGACCCTTTTGAAAATCACTCCAAACCTAAAAAGTATGAATTGTAGTTAGTCTAAACTAGTTCCTTGCAATCGTCAATTTAAAAATATCTTATTTACTAAACCTTAAAAGTCTTAAGTTCTTGTGCAATATATGTTTAGGGTTTATTATACAATTTTAACATTGGATTTGGTACCTACTCTCATATTTGTTTACCTACACACAAAATATGTGAATTCACCACTCTTTTGTTCACACGAATCACATATAAGTCCAAGATGCACGAACTTCTTATGAACAGTATAGTGACTCTGAAGACCATGTCCATGTATAGCTTCTTTTAGTTGAACTAGTTCTGAAAATCACCTACCTATTAGTCTTTTTTAATGTTCTAAAATCAGCTTTGACCAGAAAAAATGTTCTATAAGGCTGTCAACGGCCAGAACCTTGTAAAACCTTTTCTTTTTACCTAGTCAGAACTTAAAAAAAAATACGTGCATGCTTTGATAAAATCCACAGGATCACAAATAGCTAGACGACAATTTGGCATGCAAAAAGATTAAACCATGATTTGTTAACGATTAAAGAATCTTTAAAAAGTGGAATTCTTTATAGACTTTCTTTCATTTTATGTTTTTGACACAATATTTTATAAAGTTGTTTCAAAAATTGACGTTAAACTATAAAATGACAAAAAAGTTCATAAAGAATTCCACTTTGAAATAATTTTTTTAACATTTCTTAAGATAAAAACAAAAACAATCTAATATTCGATTAAGCAATAGTAATACACTTTAAGTAAACAATCTCCAAAGTAAGCACAACAACTTAGATGATAATAAAAGAAACAGAAAGCTGAGGAACCCAAAGCATGTATTTTATCAATCTCACATTTACACATCCCTAGACTAAACTGATGAGTAAGGTCAAGCTTTTCCTTAGTAATTCTTTCTCTCTTCCTAAGATTCTTTTGTCATCTTTTCAATTTTTTTGTTGGGACTTTTAGATTTTAGGATTTCAATAAGATTGTTTTTAGATTTTAATGTGAATGGTTTTCAAAATATAATATAAGTCCTTATTTTTAAAACTTATCTTTAAAACTTATCATATTTAAATAATTATAGCACATTCTTATTATTTATAAACTTACCATTTAAAATTCTTTACCCATTCATAATTAATGTTTATATTGTGTGCTCCAATCATATTAATAGATACAAATTCATTCAAAATTCAAATTCTTATTGTAACATCCCACATCGCCCAGGGGAGTGATCCTTAAATGTATATTCTCATCCCTACCTAGCACGAGACCTTTTGGGAGCTCACTGGCTTCGGGTTCCGTCGGAACTCCAAAGTTAAGCGAGAAGGTGACCAGAGCACTCCCATGATGGGTGATCCACTGGGAAGTTGCTCGTGAGTTCCCAGAAACAAAACTGTGAGGGCGTGGTCGAGGCCCAAAACGGACAATATCGTGCTACGGTGGTGGACCGGGCCCGGGATGTGGTGGACCCAGGTCGAGATGTGACACTTATTATTAAAAAAATTCAACAACAAAACAAAAACAATTTATGCATAACTTTCGGGACCTTATTTTATTCACAGGTACGGAAGTTTTGGTATATAAGTTTCGGTACAAATGTATCGGTACATAACTTTAGGTACCTTATTTTACTCATAGGTACAGAAGTATCAGTACATAAGTTTCGGAACGAATGTATCTGTACAAATGTGTCAGTACGTAACTATAATATCAGTATGTACATAATATGCATATATATATATATAATATGCATATATATATATATATGAAGAAATTCATGCACAATGAAAAATATATGATAATATATGATTTTTCTTAGGGGTGTGCTATCCACACACCCCTTTTTACTTCTCCCACACCCCTAGTTAATTTCTGTCCGTTGATCTTCCTCAATTCATCCGATCCAACGGCTAAAAATTAAAAAGGTGTGAGAGAAGTAAAAAGGGGTGTGTGGATATCACATTCCTTTTTCTTATTGTGGGAACAATGATAAATAAATTTTTATTATTTATGGGGATCAATATATAACCTACAAACAAAAAACTCAATAATTATTACAACCTATTTAATATTCAAAAATTACAATTAAATGTCAAGAATTAAAATTAGTTTTTAATCTTACGCAAAGTTTTATTAAAAAAGTAACAAGAATTAAAATAAAATTTTCCGTTTTTTGTTTTTTATTTTTTCCTTGAAATCTCTTACCAAAAACAATAAAAATAAGCTTGTTTCTTTTTCTTCTTAGAATACCCACCCACATGACCAAAGTTTCTTGAATAATTCTTCCCACTTTTAAAGATGAATAATAAAGGCAAGTCCCATCTTCATATCAATCTATCCTATCACACACTGAGAGACTGAGCTTTCCAGTCTTGTCTCTGATGGAGGTACCTGTTTCCACTGTAGAATCCTTCTGTTCCTCAGCTTTCTGTCCCCTCCACTAAAATTCCAAAGGGAATGTGGGACTCATTGGTTCTGCTCCCAATCAACCAACTACCTTCTCTCCCTCTCTTTCTTATGGGACATGGATCCTCTCCGGATCCATGCATTCTAATATTAGGAATCCATAAATTCTGATCATTGAAATTTGATTCAATGGTAAAAATTATTATAACTTTTAAAGTGGGTCCTTATTTGTAATCGTTTAATCAAATTTCAATGGTTCAGATTGATAGATCCCTAAGATTAGGATGCATGGATCTGGAGAATCCTTTCTTCTTTTCACATCACCTCTCTTCCCTAATCCCTGATTCTATTCTGGTGAATAACAAGAACCCAAAATTATATATAAAAAAAAAACTTACAAAAAGTAAAGAAAAAAAATTAGAACCCCACCCCAACATGTAAAACTCAATTCAAACCACAAGGACTAGGTTTTAAACTGCACCACCAAAAAGAAAGAACAAAAACTAACTTAAAAAGAGTATACTCTTAACTCTTGTTTTAGGGGAGTTGATGATATCTTTTCAGGGTGATTAGTCTTGGCCTTGTTATAACCGCCTCTTAGCTTCAGCAAATGAAGTATTGTTGGTGTTGTGATCTCCTGACCAATTATCTAAGAGATTGAATGGATCTAAGGGCTCTGCAGCCTTTTGCTGCTGCTCATCTGCCGAGAAACATTGTAAAAACAAGAGGTTAAGTGGGTCAGCCTCAATTTCTCCTAAATCAGCAAAGAAGTCATCAAGATGGTGTGACTGGTTGGACTGCTCATCAGGCATAGATGGTCTATAAGCAAACCCTAATTGCTGATGATGATGATGATCAAGCTCTAATTGCTTTTCAACGTCCTCAAATTCTTCCTTCACTGTTGAAGCACTTCCAGCGGTAATAACTGTTGGAGACATATGATTATCATCATTATCATTCACATTCTCATTTTGTTCTTCCTTTGTTGGGCCAGTTGGCTTTTGATGAGGCTGATGAGAGCTATTGGGAGAGATCTTCAAGGCAGCGGCGCCACCATTTTTGGATGGCTGGGATCTGGTTGAGCCAGCTAGGGCATTTCTCTGAGTAGGCCATGGATGGTTGTGTTCAGAAGTGTACGTGATGACCAACATTTTTGGATCCGTCCGGCTACGCTCTACTTGTTTCCTTGCTGAGCAACCCTTTGAGCTGCTACATCTATAGTAACCCCTGCAAGTAGTATCAAACACATCGATTGACTTAGTTAAGGTTAAGTTCAATGTCATTGCATAATATATAGATGATGATTGTTATGATTATAAAGATGATTAATGTTGATCAAATCCTTTATATTGCTTTCATCACATATCAACTAGTAATAGTCACATTGAGGGGATATTCTACAAAACTGACTGGTACTAATGCTGAGTTTCTGTGCTACTTAAAAACAGTGTCGTGAATTCACTATTCTTTTTGTCCACATATTTTTTTAAGACACAAACTTTCGCTACACTAGAATCATTCAAATTAAAATAAAGGTAAGTGTTTTGAGTTTGATGGAAAATGATTGTCGCACTTTTCGGTGCAGTTCTATTTATTTTGGGTTTTTTTTATTCTATCTACATGCTATGAATAAATAAGTAGTATACATGAAAAGAAAAGGTTATCCGCAGATTAGTTCCATAAATGAAAATTTATGAGAGTGTGAAAATTAGCTACATTGACCTATTTTAACCCTAGCCTAGTTCTCCACTTCTCACTCTACACGGACTAGGGACTTCTATACATAAAGCCTCAGATTATGGATAGGGATGCTGATTCGGACTTTTGAAACATTAGATCTTTATTTTAAAATTACAAAAATTAAAATTAAACGGTTAAAAAATTCGTAGAATTTCATACTCCGAAGCACAAAATCTTTTTATCGGGCTAACATAAGGGCGCTTCACTCGTAGTGCACTAAAACCCTATTTTGAATTTAGAATTTAATGGAAATGGATATGATCAAAGAAAAGGGAACACAACCATTCATGGTTGTCAGTGAGATATGCAGGCAAATCCTTAGTTTTGCTTACATAGGAACTTTCTATTATATGACAAGTGAATATGAAACTTTTTTCAAGTATTTGTATATAATATATAGGAGAAATTAGGTCCACATCTTTCTTTTTGTTACTCCATTGATTAAAATTTTATTCATTTTTAATTTTTGATCAAGGTCCTTGGGTATTAATAACATGATTAATTATTTGAATAATAACATATTTTTGTTTTTAAATATATTCCTTTAGTGTTAAAAATGTTACAATTAGTATATTTATATTTATGGCTAAATTTTTAATCATATATTTTTATTTTTAGTTTGTACCTATTTTTAATTTGCAAATATTTTTTAATTTGTACCAATTTTCTTTTCATTTTTAATTTGTACCCATATATTAGTTTCTTTTTGTGCCCATCTTTTTTAAATTTTTATTTGTGTTTGTACGCATGTGTATACCGTCACATGACATTGTATATTTAATCAATGATAGAAAAATTACTTATGGTATATTTATGTTTTATGCCTAAACTTTGTATCATATATTTATATTTTTAGTTTGTACCCACTTTTAATTTGCAACATTTTTTTTAAATTTGTACTATTTTCTTTTTAGTTTTATTTTGTACCCATGTATTAATTTCTTTTAGGGCCTATATTTTTAAAAAATTCATTTGTACTCATAATTTTTTAATCTTTTATATGTACCCTAATTTATTTATAATGTACCCATTCTTCTTTATTAATGTACCACTTTGTTATATGTGAAATGTACCAATTTTTTTAACACTATGGATACATTCTTTTGCCATTTATTATTTCTTATTTTTACATAGTTTTTATCCATTTATTCAATCAAAATGTTTGAATTCTTTTATTGTAACCGTTTCTAATAGTACCATAAAGAGGGATTTTAAATTTATAGGATTATAAATCTCATAAAATATCAAACAATTAATGTCAAAACTATAAAAACATAAATATTAATAGTAATATAATGAGGTGTCCAAAGTCAAGGGACTTTGATCAAATTTTGAATATCATTAAGGTTTTAATCAAAGAATGTTAAGGATTAAGGACCGCATCCAAAATATCCCTAATATATATATATATATATATATATATATATATATATATATATATAGAGAGAGAGAGAGAGAGAGAGAGAGAGAGAGAGATGATGACAAGTGAAACTTACTAACCTTGGATAAGGTGACCCTTTGATGGGTTTCTGACCGTACTTTCTCCATGCCCACAGATCAGACGGAACTACTTCTCCAGTAGGCCTGCTGTTTGCAGCCGCTGGCGCCGGAATGCACACCACCTTCTTTGCCTGGCTCTTCCTGCTCATATAAGTAATTAAAGATAGTTAAGTATGATTCATGTAGAGTATTACGTACGTTAAAATTAAACTTACTCAATTTATATTAAATTGGTGGGAACGGATGAAATATCTCATTTTCCATCCCTGTTTTTGTTGAAATTAAAAGGATGAAGTAATAGATGGTATATTCCAAAGCAAGACCAATACCAATCGAAAAACAGTGAGTGATCCTTTCAGGCGATGTGGATTGGGGGGGGGGAAAAGTAGTTTCCAGATACATAAAGATGAAAGCTATGTTTGTGATTGCTATTGTGACACAAAGCAAAGCCCCATACCTTTTCAAGCTTTGATTAAAACCCACAAAGACAAAGATAGATAACATGTTTAGTTATCTATATGCTAGATAGTAATGTTCACGCTTGTCACTACTTAACAATCTCACCTGAAAAACAGTCTTAGAGAGCTACACCCTCATCAAGACTGAAGACTCTAGAGCTAGTCAAACCTAACAATATTTGATATATTTTATTTTAGACAAGCGATGCTCAATCTAAAGTTATCTAAATTACAAGAAAAAGCCACTAAGTGCTACGGTTTGGTGGTATTCTTCTTCACTTATAAGTAAGAGGTCTTAGGTTCGAATCTCCTGGATGGCGAATTCGATATCAAATTAGGTTGCCCATTGTGTGGCTTATCGGAACTCTTCCTCCTCTTAGTGTAAAATATATTGTTGTAATAAAAAAAAAATTACAAGAAGGAGACTCAAACTTGAGTGCAAGAAGAGCAAATTGCTCTAGCCTATTTGGCTATACCCTAAACCCTGTTCATATTCATAATAACTAAGGAACGCTTTAAATAACAAACCCTATTCTTAGATTTTCTCCATGTACAAATTAAAACCCAAGTTGCATATAAGGCAATTTTTCATCAAGGTTGTTGATCTATGAAATGATGATGATGATAATGCCACCTTAATTACCCATCAGGATTAATTTATATACCAGTAATTAATTACTAGTTAGAATAATTAATTCATGGAATCATGGTCAAGTTGTAAGAAATATTAAATGCTCTCTTATGGGTCCTCACCTTCGCTTGATACCCGGATTCCGTGGAGATGAGATCTGCATCCCAGTGTTCTCGAGCAAGCAACCTTTTGCTGCTGATGAGCTGTTCGCATTAATAATCATGTCGCTTGCAACCATGGCAGTAGAAGCTGATGATGTTTTAATCTCCCTAGGAGACGACGACACTGCTGCACCTATCACCGGAGAATCACATGGCGACACCGGTACCTTTGCACTCGGAGAGATCTGTAGCATCCGTGAGAATATGTTGTAAGGCCTCTTTATTGGATCACCATCAACCACAACACCGCCACTTTGATGGTTGTGATGCCCAAGACTAAGTACATGATGACTGCCATCGCCACCGCTACCAAAAGTAGTAGTTGTAACATCTTCCTCCGCACGAGCTGTACAATTGGGGCTGCTGAAAAGGCTGGAACTTGATATGCCTAGCTCGTTAAGCAGCGGATCGCGCATGTACGACAAAAATGGATCGCCAAAGTTGTCCTTAGTTTCTTCTGCTTCTTCCATGGCTGATGAGGATGATGGGAATATCATGCGATGATCAGATGGAAAGTGCCACGAGTCGGTGTAAGGTTCTTGATGATCAGACGGATCAGCTCCAACGGTAGCAGTAGTAGTACCAGCTCTTAGTATGTCGGTTAAATCACCTTGAAAATTCTCCATCCTAGTAGTTGGCATGAACAAGCTGCACATGATATATATACTCTCTTAAGGCAAAAGCTGCAGCTTCAAGTTCAAGTATGTCATTTGAACCATATTGTAGTATATTGGGAGGTTAAATTTGATTGAGATTTCACTGTAAAATCAATTGACAATACACAACAGACTGATATGTTCCCAAAATGGGTTTTGATTATTAGGAGCAGGAGAGCAAAGATGTGGTTTTTGAAAGCTGATGTTGGATTCTTCTGTTCTTCTCAAAAACAAAGTTATGATGAGGGAGAGAATTGTTTGGAAGAGATCAAGAGAGGAGCTGACTTTTCATATAAAACAGGTCTTCTCCATACGCAACAAAGAGAGAGAGAGAGAGTTTAATATGAAATGGCCGAATTGCTAACGATAAATTATTTGTCATCAAGCTAACTGTAGTGCTTATTTTTATTTGTTAATTTAATATTATATATTAACCACTCAGTAGTACGGTTTGATGGTATTCTTTTTCACTTGTAAGTGAAAGGTCTTAGTCTTGGTTCGAATCTCGTAGATAGCGAATTCAATATCAAATTAAGTTGTCCATTGTGTGACTTAGCCGAACTCCCCTCCGTGAGTGTGTAAAATATATTGTTATACTAAATATTATGTGTTTTTTCTCTGTCAGAAAAATAAAAGGATTACCTTTGCCCAAAAAAATAATGAAAGTAAAAAGTCCTCTCCTTTGTTTCAGAAACAAGTGATAGGAAAGTAAAGAGGCGGCAAGTAGCCGTATTTCTCGGAGGAACGTTTCGAAACTTCAACAACTATTCTTGGTTTCTTTCAAATTTGAGTTGCCTTCATTCTTCTTCTTTTGCGTGACCAAAACGTTTGATGGTGATCATGTGGTGCTTTAGGACCCGCCTGCCCAATATTGCCGCCCAACCTTCAAAGAAATGAGTTCGTGGGGGGGAAATGTTCTATTGTCTTGTATCACATCTTATGAAGTACTATTATTGGAGATTGGGAAGTTTCGAACTTGTGACGTATAGGTAGAAACTCAACACCCTATCTACTAGGATATTAGATCACGTGTAGTATATCTTATATGGTTACACTTACACACTATATACTCGAGAATTCAACTATCACAATATTAGGGTAAAACATCTTAGGCCTCATCCTTATACATTTGTTCTTTAGATTGAATGTTCGTATTTTAACAAAGTATCAAAATTGAGATCTTAGTTAGTTGGTCGTATGACCATATTTACTTATTGCATCTATTATATTAATCATGTGACTTTTATACAAAAAATATCACATGCAATTAGTTTTTTTTTCGTGGTTGTGATCGCTCTTGCTCAGTTGAGAGAAAGTTGTCAAAGAACTATGAGAAGGAAGCTCATTGACCATATTTTATTACGATCCATCGTTTGTTTTCTAGAACAATGATGAGTTATAATTAGACTCTTGACCTTTTTAAATCGAAGAAGAAAAACGTCTATATATAGGGTAATATATAAATTATTGTTACTACGCACTAAATCATGATCTTTTATATGTTAATCCCAAAGGATATGAAACAATACAAATTTTAAAGAGCACTGAAGATAAATTTTGGGAGGTCTTCAAATCAAATAAATTTCAATGTAATAGACAAGGTCAACTTGGCCAAACTGCACATGCCATAAAAATAGAGCCTCAAGTTTGGCCAAACCAAGGAGCCTCTCATCTGGTCGCCAAGGTGGAGCCTCTCCTGCCATAAAATGGCACGCCGATGTGAATCAAACTTGAGGGTTTCCTTTGCATTTCTCAACTATTTCAGAAGCCACCAAGTTGCAGTTGTTTTTGGCAACAACTCTAAAGTTCATCCTTATTCCACATTAAAAAAAGGAAAACTAATGAAAATGACTTGAAAACTTTGAGTTTTAACGATAAGGACAAAATAAAGGGTAAAGTGAATATAGTACCAGGTTTGACTTTTTAGTGTAAAAATGTAGTTTTTCATTAAAATGAACAATAACGTGGGCTTTTCATTAAAACTCCCTTAAAAAAGTATTTATATGCGGCTTTTGAATAATCATCTGAATAAATCAACGACACGATAATATGATTAATTAGTTAATCTTTTAAAAAACAAAGATAAAAGTGTAATTAGCGTTTTGAAAAGGTGATTATGATGAAACTGAGGGATATATATAAACTGGGCTCTGATATAACATGTCGGAATGATGAAGGGCAAGGATTAGAGTTAGAATCCTAATGAAGTATGTTTTATTATAAGGTTAAATTGATTCTATATTTGTTGTAATAGGTCCGATAAAACGCCTTCCGTTTTGGTCCAAATATTGGGTTCCTTTTTGGAGTCTTGTACGACCACTTCAAAGATAAAAAATGGTGCTAAACAAATAACATCGTGTAATTAACATCATTTGATTAGACATTTTTAGGGTTAAGGACTTCTCACCAAAAGATAAAGGTTTGGGGTTTTAATTTTAAGAAACAAATTCCCAAATGTCTCGCTCTATCCCTAGAATTATACTATTAAAACACAAATATTATTTGTGTGTATTGAGATGATATTGTGGGGGAGGGAGGTGGTTCTCGATTAGAATTTGAATGTATAATGGAACAATGATCATATATGTTTGATTAGACATTTTCAGAATCTACCAAAGGTAAAGGTACGTATGACACACTCTCTCTCTCTCTCTCTCTCTCTCTCTCTCTCTCTCTCTCTCTCTCTCTCTCTCTCTCTCAGGGGAACTTGAAGGTTTTGGCTTACGAATTCTTTATAAGACCATTGTTGCCATCCGTATTTCTTACTATTTCTTATTACTTTCCCTTATGTACACTGTATCACTCACTACCATAATAGGTGGAACTGAAAATTTGAATTCCACAAGGACCTAACAAATGGTCAAGGGTTAGTTGCCCGCATGTTCACAAGATATAATTTGTAGTGGTTGATAGATGTGAATCACATGGTAGAGTCTTACACCAATTGATAATCTACAATCTACACACATATAAGTCTTAAACCAACTAATTCAACCATTCAATATCATTGATACATGTTGAATAATGTAAATCTCACGGTAAGCTACAAATTCACAATCTGCACACATAAGTTTCAAACTAACTAATTCAGTGATTCAAAATCATTTATACGTATGTGTTGAATAACTATTTTGACAAAGTTAATTCTTCCTGACTTAACAAATCACCACATTAAGTGCTACTGGCCTAGCCAACCTGTTGTAATTTTATATCAATAAACAGGTAGCTAGCTAAGAACCCAAAATTTACAAATTACAACCATGATCAAGTTGGTCATGGTATGCTTAAACTTCTTAGAAAAATAAGACCCCAACTGACTTCTACGGACCAGTTCAACAGGGTTTCCTAAAAGCAAACGGGTCTTAATTAAGATTTTAGTGGTCCAATCTACAAAATCCCCATAGTTTTAATTTGCTAATCCATTAATTATTAACTGGCTTTCAGACAACACTTGCCCCACGTTCTTGCATGACAAGCTCTCCCACTCCCTCCCACAAGAGAACAAAATTAAACTGGGATTCTCTGTGCAGTTCTCTACAGGGTTTTTGTCTTCCCACAAGAATCCCTAGGCCATGTGAAGCAGGCACATACTTATTTAAAAAAATATATATATATATATATATATGATTACCCAATAACTATTATTAATTATCATATAATTTAATCAACAAAAGTTTTTATATATTTTTTTTATGTTTAATAACACTACATTATAAGTCACTTATATATATATATGTGTGTGTGTGTATAATTTAAGCATGGTCCATGACTCATTGGGTTTTTTTTTTTATTCCAGCCTTCCCAGCTTACCTTGAATTAAATAATGCAAAAAATGAGGTGCCCCTTTATAATAATTCCATATATTTCTGCCCTGATTACGATAGAGTTTTACTGATTTGCACGCATGACACTGAGACATTTTTTGCTTATGCATTTTCACACCTCTCAACGTCACCATTCCAGTGTACCGGCAACCTCACCGGTTTGTGCCTGAACCAACTGCAGAATTCGATAAATATATAGTGCCCATCCACTATCCTCTACATGGACGGCTGTGATTTACTTGCCACCAGCTGTCTTTTGTCCCTGCCCTAATAGCCAACTTATCTCATTCTATTATTCTAATGCCCTGGTCCCACGTAGGAAAGGTCAAATTAGGGGTCCACGTTAAAATAACATAACACAAAGGCCTTTTTAATCTAGGGTTTTGAGGTTTGTGAGTGACTAATTAGGGTTTGATATAATCCAGTCTCTCTACGAGAGAAATCCTTTTATAAATATTATGAACGCCAAACCTAGGCAACCAATAAGAGAATGACAAGTAAATTCCCACTTGTAAATTTATAATGTAGCACTTTCTTAGCAATTACAAAAGGTTTTTCAAGAAAATTTTCAAGGACTATGTTTGGACCTAATTTTACACTATCAGCCCGAGTAATCAAGGCCGTTGAATGAGCAGGATTTTAGGCCATTAAATGACAAAGTGGCTGATATGATTTTGAGTTATTATTGAGAAATAATATTTTGATTTTAATCATTATATTATCTCTTAGTAATATATTAAATGATTTAAACCTAATATTTGTCTAAATCCCAATTAAAATGATGGTGGGATATTGGGATATGCACGGCGTCAGATAATGAAGCAAGCAGTGCGGTTCAAATTGATTTGGATGTCTGGCAGTGGACGTGTAGCTTGAAATAGCTTGGAGTGGAGATCAGCATATGGGATTTGATGATCTTAAAATCATGGTCTTGGATAATGATGGGATAAGGAACCTAGGTAGACTAGGCCTTTTTGCATGGTGATGTCAGATGGGTTTAAAAGCTACTAATGGAGTTTTGATGATAAGAAGTCTAGGTGGGCTAGACTTCTTATGAGATGTGATAAGCCTAACTTTTATTAGGTTTGAAAAGTCAATAAACAAATCCCACGGATCAATTTGAAGGATATGCCTTGGTTTTTGATGTGGATCAAGTTCAGTTCCGTGAATTAGAGTTGTAGTTGGACTCTACAAAATTATCTAGCCATGCCCAGTAGAAGATATGAATGCTATAAATACAAGGTGCGTTGCAACAAGTGAGCTCCCTCCAATTCAACACACAAACTGCCTTGCACAATCTCTCGCTCTACGCGCGAAACCTCTCAACAACCTTGAGATTTTTATTTTCTTTTTTGCCGACACATCTTCAGTTTGGATAAACAGCATTGCGTCAAGGCCGACTGGTTATCTATCCAAGTCTCGGTCGAGAAGGGTTTTCGAATCCTTATTGGCAGAGGTCATCTCACGAACCTTCTCAGCGAAGTGAGGTGTTACGAATCACCAAACTCGGTGCGTTGAACGCCAAGTTATTTTATGATTGGATACTCACAAGTTGGATTTAGAGTTCGGCATTCTAACGGCCGAACCACATTTACGATTAAAACGTATATCTGCTTTGAATACTTGTGTCCATATAGCCTGGCGTTAATTCAGTGTACTTATACTCTTACGAATATAATCACCGTGATCGAATCCGACGCCGACGATTTGTGAATTTCGTATAACTAGCAGCCTTGTCTTCAGGCTCTAGAACCTGAAGGTCGAGAGTGTTCCTTCCTCGGCCGCAATCGTAAGACCGAGAAGTCAGCAGCGCACCCAACGCAACATCAACATATTTTACTCCTCGGCCGACGAGTTGGCATGCCCCGCATCAACCGAATGACGTAGTTAGCTCATTCGTTATTCGACCTGCGCACCACGTAAGCTTGGTAGTTTTTAGGGTCAACAGACTATCATGAAAGGTGGGGGTTTGGCTCCTCAACACCAACCACAGTGAATGCCTATGGCCTAGGCTTAGCTATTTATCAAAATAAAATAAATAATCTAACCAATTAAAGAAAAAAAAATAAAAATGGATATATATATTTTTTTCTAAACTAGACTAAACGAAGAAAGTGATTTGAACGCGAATAGAAACACTATGTTCATTAACACTCTACCATTTGTGATAGAGCTAACTTTGAGGGTGTGTTAGTGGTGCCATTGCACAAGGCCCCTAGTTTGCAAGGCCCCACCATTTACGATTTTATTTTACCTGTATATATAGAATATCTATTCAAAGTGCACCAATTAACCAAATTAAGCTCTTAGCGTAGGTGTTCTTGCACTTTGTATTTTTGTAGCTCCAACTGGGTTGAAATACCTCATGCGGCACTTTTTTTTTTATGTTTTATTTTATTGAAAAGCAAGAAGTTTTAGACTCAAAAACATGGATGCAAATAAGTACTTAGCTACCAAACCATGCTTCATTTCATTTATTTTCCTTTGCGTTATATTAATTTATAGACAATAAATGTGAAAAAAAATATAGCAACCAAAATTAAGTACTTAGCCACCACATCACGCTTCATTTCATTTATTTTCTTTTGCGCTATATTAATTTATAGATAATAAATGTGAAAAGAAAAATATAGGAACCAAAATTTTAAACCTTATAAGAGCCTTCGTTTGAGTCTCGTATAGGACTCCAAAAATTTGATAGTTGGCTCTGGATCTGACTTGTGATCTAGCCTTTTTTAGACTTTCACTAGTTGGCAAGCTATTTATTTTTTAGTTTTTATTTGGGTTAATTACACTAACACCCACTGAGGTTTATTGTGTTTTCAATAAACCCCCTCACGTTTGTAACATAACACTAACACTCCTTGAGGTTCTAATTCATTTTCACATAACCCCTTTAGGGCTGACATCACCTTAAAATAATTTCTTAAAGACAAATTTGCCCCACTATTAATTAGTTTAAAAAATAAAAAAGGCTTTTTAAAAATACATATAATAATAACCAATATAAAGAAAATAGATTTTTTTTGTTGGACTTCAAAAACGAACATTAACAATAAAAAAAAAATAAAAATAAAAAATAAAAACTGAAAATAGAAGGCCACCTGTGCATCTTCGGATCTTCCTCAAATCGCCACCTCCATCTCTTCGTCAACCTCCTTCACTCCTTGTTCACCCAAACTGAAACCAATTTCGACGAGAAAACGATATGGAAGAAAGCCCTGATATGGAGAAGAGTACCTGATTTGGCTTCTTTTGGAAGAAATTACCCGACCACATTCCTACTCCGAAATGGCCATAGGATTTAACAGGAGAAAGATTTGTTCTGCCAGGGTTTTTCCAATTAAGAAAAGAGGATTGGGATATGAATTAACAGCGTAGAGGAAGAAGGTAACAAGATTTCTTCAATTTTCTTTTATTTCCTTTTATTGTTTAATGTAAGATTTTAATTTGAATTTTTATTCTATTTATTTATAAAGGATTTTTCATAAAGTAATTAATAATTAGGGCAAAATTGTCTTTAAGAATTATTTTAAGGTAATGTTAGCCCTAAAGGGACTATGTGAAAGTGAATTAGAACCTCAAGAGGTGTTAGTGTTATATTTCAAACGTGAGGGGGTTTTGTGAAAACACGATAAACCTCAGAAGGTGTTAATGTAATTAACCCGTTTTTATTTTGCTTTAGTAGGGGCTGGTTCATAATGCGGCATTGCACCAATGTATGAAACAAGGGAGCTTCTTCCCCTCTTGTTAATCCAAAACTTCTCTTTTGGGGGAAACCTTTAAAAAATATTGTAACATATCCCATACATGGGGAACTGGGCTATTGTCTCTCTTTTTAGTGTTAATAAATTAAAGAGTAAAGATAATTAAGCCCTTAAATCGTGTGCCACGTGGCCCTTTTCCCATGTGATTATAATGACTTAACTTTACTTCCAGTGAGAAACAAGTTAAAAAATAGCTTAATTTTGTCTTGAGAAATGCTTAAGAACTCTCTTAAAATTTTTCTGTAGATTCTTTCTCACCTCATATTTTAACGTTATTTTTTAGAGAATATTATAAAATATGATGTCAAAAACATAATCTGACAGAAAGTTTATAGAGCTTTCCATTTTTAAAAAAGTTCTCTTAATATTTCTCATCGGTCTTTCACTCTGGGGATCATTTTCAAGATCCTACATATGCCTTTTAAGTGAAGTTTATTGTTTTTTTTTGGTTTTCGAAAGAACGCCCTTTAAGTGAAGTTCAGGTTGAGGAAAACCGTTGTCCTTGCCTGGCTACTCGCTTACAGATTGCATATTTATGTAAATTCTCTAAGGGCACATGTACATTTTGTAGATCTAGTACATTGTAACCGGTTGTGTATCTCTCTCTATTATTTATATAAATAAATTATCTATCACAAAAGAAAATAGGTGTTGTAAAACTAATTATTTGAGAGAGAATAGAGACGGTGCGGCTAGAGAAGAGAACAAGAGAGAAAGGCTTTGTGGGATCATGAATTTTCTTGGGTTGGAGTAAGGCATATCGAAATACTAATGTCTCAGAAGTCCGGTCATGGACTTAACGGCTTCGAAAACAGACTAAGCTGACTAAACGAACCAACAATGCCCTACACTCAGTTGGGCTCCGAACTAGTAGGCAGGCCCACATGTCTTGTTGAGGTCGACTATGCTTGTTTATTATGACACGGAGACCTGATCCGACTTGGAATTAGATTAGTTTTCTATATTCTTAAAGATTCCTACAATCTCGGAATTCACGTGCTCAGCAAGTAATCACAATTTAAAAGAAAGCAATATCTTATGCTAGATATCCTTTAGGTTCTCCCAACTTCATATCCTAAAAAGACTCTCTACTAACTAGTATAAATACATCAATCTAAAGTTCATCTTTGTTTACGCTTTTATTATGCACACTTTATTCTCTTACCACTGCTTGAGTTTTAAGGTTTATACTAACTTGACATTCAGAGAGCCTTTGGCCAGTACCACACAGGTATATCATGTTAATCACAATTGTTTGTTCTTGTTTGTAGGTGGCCGTTCTCGCACAATTCAACCATACACCGCTGTGGGAGCGGCTCCTTGACGCGACAAGGACTACGATTGACCTCTTAGAATTCCTGCAGCCAAACCATCGTCCGATGCAGCACCTCCAAGGGTTCAGCCAACTTCCCCTCCCAGACCACCTCATTGCGCTCCATCCAAAGCGCCCAAAGCAGCATTAATACTACATCAAGGTCTAATTTTGAGTGGATGATCAAAATAGTTTGCAATTATAAGAAACTAGGGTTATGTCCCGTACTAGAATTTTGAATACCTAGTTAGTATAAGAGCTATAATTACATAATTAATATACCTTGGTTTGAGGTCATAATGAGACCAATTTTTAAACAAAATTTGAAACCGTCACCAATAAGAAATAAACAACTTAATTAACACTAATAATCTAATCAACAACAATCACATCATTTGATTTTTCTAGCATTACCCTTTTCTTAACGAGACACAAATTTTCAAGGAAAAGGCTTCGCTCCTCAATTCCCCGCCTGATCAATACAAACTTCATACATGCATCAGATGAGGCCAAATCTTTAATTTCCAAAATGAGTGTTGCCTCTTTGTGGCCTTAGTAAGTGATTGACACGTATTTATTATATGAAAATTTCTTAATTTTGTTGTCATAAATTTAATATGTCAAACATATATAGAGGCCACATCTATTTTTAGTGCAAAAGATTTGATCTCATGTCAGATCGAAATTTGGTTAGGTTATGGTCTAATTACCTTCTAGAAGTATACCTCACATCTGACACATCACAAAACTGTCCGGAATTTTAGACATATAGTTGTTAAAATCTTAATAAAGTTGCTCCAAACCTCATAACTTGAAACTTTGGAGACTTGTTCTATTGTTTTTGAGTGAGGAACTTCCAAATCTCAACATGTTGTGTGTACTCACAAAGTTTTGAAGTCTCATTGGGACTACTTCTGAAAGCGTTAAAAGTGCTTATAATATTGTTAGACAAATAAAATTAAAAATGGTTATGGATCAAAAAATGCTTTCTAGAGAAGCACTTTCAGAGCTTTCTAGGAAACACTTAAGGTTTCTAATAAAATGTTATGCTCTTAAAATAAAATCGCTTTTACTCTGATGTAATTGTAAACAATCACAAACGGGACCTTAGTTCGTTGTAGTTTTGGGCCCATTCTTCTAATCAAAACAAGTATATGGAGGCTGGTACTACTAGGTATTACGGACACTAAAGAAAAGTTCTCCATCTCTGAGTTTCTTTACCATTGATTTCCAAGGGTTAGAAATTAGAAACAAGTCAAAACATGAAAATGCTAATGCATGCACTTGAAGTTTACAACAATAAATGAAAAAATTTACATGTCGTAGGTACGAAAGAATGAGTGTCGCTTAACTCCAACGATATGTTCTGTCACTAAACCTCTATACAAGCACAAAGAAGCTCACTATAACCCTGGTAATAGACAACGATTTTGACATAATTGACTATATAACATGTCAACCTATTCTATAAAGCAACAACATGACCTTGACAAACGACGACTCATAAATCAATCATTAAACGTAGCCTAATTGTCAAGCTCGACCTCCTTTCCTCTTAATCTACATGATTATATGGTGACTGGACACACAAGAAATTATACTTACGAATGCTGGATAATAGCTCGTACACTCTGCTTGTTATCTTCGTGGCGGTTTGTGTTGAGGTAGTGGGGGTCTAGTAGATTGCCGTGAAGGCTGAGAGCCTCCTGAGACACCCAACTGGTTGGGCACATGTAAGGGAGGGGTTCCGTTAATTGGTGAGTCCGGAGGATCAGGTGTGTCTGGAAAAAGCAAACAAGTGGAGGTCTGAGACTGCAAATACAATCTAATACTAAACAGACGACACTGAGGAATTCTGATTGCAACAAGCACATACCAAATAATGATTTAACAGATGGTCGTTTTGGCTTGGTATTCTTTTTCTTCAACTCAGCTGCATCAGAGGGAGCATTTGATGGTCAGTGAAGCTCTAACATTACACCAACCGAATGCCTCATCCAGTCCTCCCCACCCCCATCACAAATAAAAGTTCTACTAATTTCTATATATTACCGGTTGATGCCTATTTATACACATTAATTCCTATCAATAGTTTTTTTTTATTTAACCGTATACTACGTAATACTTACCAATGCCAGGCATATGATGCTCATCAACAATTTCAAAATTCTTGTAGGTATAGCCGACGAAATTTGTATCCGTGGAGGAAAGCATCTGGAATGAGTGAAAGTATATGATTATAGATTAAACAGTCAATAGATATAAATAACAGGAATACAGAAAGACAAACACTAGCACAGAAACAGCAAAGAAAGACCAATCCACGAAGAAACTAATTTATGAGGGGCTGAAAACAAAGAAACCTGAGACTAATCATAACATTTCCAAACGAATTAGGCACTTCCCTTTAAAATTACATATGATAAAATTTGATTTTCCATATTTTTGTGATATTCATAATACCTAATATATTTGATAAGATTTTGCGAGACTATATTCACATTAGGGTAAAAGTAATTGATTGATTGAAGATTAGAGTAACGCCTAGTGTAGGAGAACTACTTTCACATCAACTTCCTACACAACCAAACTTAGTGCAAGCTCTATCTTCCCTTCTATTTCAAGATGACTATCAAATCCTGTTTTCCAGTACTACCGCCGAAGCTAATTTGCAGGAACACCATATAGATGCAAACTCAAGTAAACTTTGATACTTGCCTTTCTCCACGGACCAGATTTTGTTGAAGTCTCTACTGGAGCCCCCAACTGCAACCATGAAAAGAAAAAGGAATTCAAGATAATGGTAAGCAGATAAGGTCCGTAAGGAAAGATAGGAAACATCCAACACTTGGATAGGTATCATCATTTGGCTCACCTCATCAAACTTCTCAAAGTTTTGAGTATCTAACTCATTGTTGACCTCTGGTATGAAAGCCGCTTCCATCTGATATAATCTATCCCATTGTAACCCATCAAACCATGGGTGTGCCTAACATAAGGAAACACATTTAAACTCTTTTTTTCTTTAACCAAATAAAAGATCTGTCAGCCATTAATGATTAAGAGAGAGAGAGAGAGAGAGAGAGAGAGAATCTGTAAAGCATGCTAACTTTTATTTCATGAGCTCCTTGCGTCCCAAGCCTCTGCTCAACATTGCAGAGGAGCTTGCAAATGAGATCCTTAGCTTCAGAAGAGAGCTTTGCTTCCCCTGGGAATTTCAGATGAGTTCTCCAGTTAACAATCTGCATGGCATAACTAACCATTGGTTTGATAAGATTCATAAGGATATGCAAATGAGATGCCAGCAGGAGATTTCTCAATAATACCGCTTAAAAAATAACCACAGTTCCAGAAAACTCCGTTTCTCAAATCTGCATTGCTAAACCTATTCAGAAATCTGAATGTTGCATATTACAAAATATTCAAACAAAAAATCAAAATTCAGTTTACCTTTCTGCATGTTGACATTGGTTCGTCAGAATAGAAAGGTGGAAATCCTACAAGCATCTCATACATGATTGCACCAAGAGACCACCTGATAGAGAAATTTTGTTACAATTATAAATCACTGTCACATGTCCCATGGTGAAAAATGTGCAAAATCAATAAACTAACCAGTCACATTCCATTCCATATCCTTTCTTCAGCAATACTTCTGGAGCAATGTAATCTGGAGTTCCAACTGTTGAATAAGCCTAGATGACATATGAAAGGACCATTTTATTTAAATATCTGAAGATTCGTTACAGAACATTTGAAGAGACAAGCGAATCATAATTACTGGACAAACGGAATTAACAAGAAATTCCTTTCTTAAGTACAAACTGTAAGCAACAAAGCATAGCACAAAAAAATGATACTTTTCCTTAAAGATAGCAATATTGCCATTGTGCATCCGATTTTATGTAATATCCGTGAGTGTATATGCCAATCGATAACTACAAGGCTGCCGTTTAAATAATTCCTAGATATTATATATCTTTTTCCTTCCTTCCTCTTTCAACAAGATTCTGATCGGAAGTATAATCGAGCACAGGAACGTAGAAATACTCTAACTGGAGGTCATGTCGCAAACACTAGCGGTAGCAACAATAGTTCAAAAGATGAGTAAACCAAGAAATGAAACAGAACATACCAGCATTCGCCTGTTCTTTTGCCAGTGCAATAACTGTTCCTGCTGTGTCCTTTTTGGTGTTGCGGGAAGGTTAGAATGTTTATGACTCGCTGAAGGGGATTTTGAATTCCCTCCAACTGCATTGCCATTCTCACCATTCTCACTAAGATCTGGAAAGCTGTTAGATCCCAAAGGCTTACACAACCCAAAATCTGAAAGCTTCATGTGGCCATAACGATCAAGCAGCAAATTATCAGGCTTAATATCCCTACAAAAGATATTAAAATTCAGGCTTACATGACATTTGAATTGAACATCTGGGAAGCAGATAAATAAACACAGTTATGCAACAAATAAAGACAACAGATAGAAACCTCAAGGATAACACTTATAAAACACGGAGAAGGTTGCACGGCCAATGGCTTAAGGTTCGGTCAGTTACACAATAACTAAGGTTCTGATAGAATGGTTGTAAGTACACATTACCATCTACGTTATTGACAAAACTATAGTCAAGCCTAAATATTTCTAGTTTCCAAGGCAAACCATTTTAAAAGCAGGATATTATGTTTAGGTATTAGCAGGCTATTCACGTCTAATCAACGGGCGATCAAGATTCAAACTCAGTAAGTGCGCAAATAAATGAAATAATACCTGTGGATGTAGTTGTGTTTATGAATAGACTCAATGGCAAGGACTGTCTCCCCTACATAAAACCTGGCTTCATCTTCAGTCAAGATATCTTTGCGCATTAGTAATGTCATCATATCACCGCCCGGAAGATATTCCATTATAAGATACAAAAATTCGTCATCTTGAAAGGAGCAGTAGAGCTTAACGATGTAAGGACTATCAACCTCAGCAAGAAGATTTCTTTCAGCTTTAACATGTTCCACCTTCCAAAAATGAAATTAAGTATGAGCGACGATGAACATATCAATAGTGGAGTAAAGAAAAAGCAAGCACATTTCTTCCAAGTTCCTTTCTTTACGGGTGGGCAAGTTCTTTCACACAATTCAGTTTAAATTCATAGTTTTTTCAGCAATATTTAATTCAACTTTATGATAAATACAGTTATGAATCATGATCACTGGTAAAGCGGTACCTGGCCTCTCCGGAGCATCTCCGATTTCTTGAGCTTTTTCATGGCGTAGACCTGCCCAGTAGATTTCTCTCTGCAGATTCTGACCTGCATTTTTGCAACACATACAACATAAAGCCAATGCAATCGACATAAACAAAAAGCCGATTGACAACAAAATATAATGGTAACCTCTCCGAATGCACCCCTTCCGATGATGGTCAACAGCTGAAAGTCATCAACCCCCATTTTATGCCTCTGAAGATGCATGTACTCCGTCTCCTTCTGCTCCAAATACTTCAACACATTCATCTGATCCTCCTGCGAAACATCCGCGTCGGCGAGCCGCCTTTCGAGCATCCACCGCCTGCAATCCCACACAAAAACACCACATTCAACCCCAAATTCCACACAGTCAATCAACCAGCTTCAATTCCAAAAGTGCTGCAGAATTTGACCGAGTCACAGCCAGTCAACTCAACTCACCTCTCCTTCCTTTCCTGCAAGGACTTCATTTGCGCCTTGTAGTGGTTCTCAATGTACTGTTTGGCTGCCTCCACCTTCTGTTTGGTCACGCTCGACGGCGCCTCATCGGAAACAGAATTCTGCTGCTCGGCCTTCGTATCCTCCGCCGCCGCCTTCTTCTTCGCCCTCGGCTGGAACTTCTTAAGCCAGCTCCTCGCAGAATCCATGGCTGAAAATTTACAGTCCTCCTCCTCCCTGTATTTCTTCCAATCCAACTCAATTTCCCAAAAAAATATGAAAAAAAATCCAATAAAAAAAAAATTGGAAACGTATTAATTCGTTATTAATGACGAATTAAAATACTAACCGAATGCAGAGAAGATTGCATGAAGAGATTTCACGTGGGAAGTAACTGATTCAACGAGAAAAGCCGATGCCTTTCTCTTCTGCTTCCTTTTCTCACTTAAAAACTCAGAATACTCGAGCGGAAAAACAAGATTAATTCATTAATTTCGTTTTAAATCGAATTTAAGACAGATGGATGAAATTACAAAACAGTCCTCTCGTTGAAGGGCTAGAGAAAAAAATGGGTCCGTGAAAGGAAGGGTAATATGGGGAAGGACGAGTTTTGCGATGTTAATTAGCAGTCGTGAAAATCACCACGACGTCGACAGGGGGATTGCCGTCGCGTTAAGGTGGCTCTGGCAGCCGGTAACTGGAGGGAAAAGTGACCGGCAGTTGGTGTTTGGAACCGACACGTGTCGGCGAACGTGCTGGCACGAAGGTGATGGGGCATAAAGGCGCGCGAACTTGTGATTGACGCGTTTTTTGGGGGTCCCAGAAAAGCCTGGATGTGGGTGATAATGATATGTAACATGGGTTTATATTGGCTTTTGAAAGCGCGTGGAAATTAAACCATGGTTAAGATTATTTTATTTCTTGAAATTTAATACTACGGTTTAATGATATTTCTCTTTACAGTGAGAGGTTTTAGATTCAATTATCGCCAAAACTAATTTGAATCACATTAGTGTTAGTTCATTGAAAGGCTAAGCTCATCTCTTAATGTAAATAATATTTTAAATAAAAATAAATAAAAAATCATTTTCTTTCTTTTCAATGAAGTAGGTGAAATGTTGTTGAGTAAAATTACATCGGAATGAAAGTTGTTGAGAAAATGAATGAGCAAATTACAGGACCAATTAATAAAGGGAGTTTTAACGAAAAGACCATAGTACTGTTCATTTTAACGAAAAATCACATTTATACACTAAAAAATCAAACATGTACTATTCACTTTACTCAAAGTTTTCAAACCACTTTTATTTGTTTTCAAACATGTACCATTCACGTTACTTTTTATATTGTCCTTATCGTTAAAACTCAAAATTTTCAAATCACTTTTATTAGTTTTCCTATTAATAAAATTATATTGATCAATTAGTTAAAAACAATTTGCATCAGCCGGAAATCGAACCCGGGTCTGTACCGTGGCAGAGTACTATTCTACCACTAGACCACTGATGCATTGATTAGATGTTTGTCTCTTCATATTATATTTATATAAGACTTGGTCTGTCCATTGCAGAGGAGTTGGTCCCTTCGGGGGCATCTCCGCCTTCCCTTCGTCCCGCCGGGGACATCCCCTACCTTTTTTTCTATTCGTTATCTCTTCCGCTCCAAAATATATGCCTTCAAATTCTCTAGGGTTTTGTTTTTGCTCTTTCTTCAATAAATTATTCATTTGAAGCAACCAGGTAGCTACTTAATTGGTTCTCACTAAAAAATTATTTTCTACACAATGCTCTAATACAAGTTGACGACAATCATGCACTACTTGTGTCTACCTTCTCAAAGGAACTCCATTTTTAAAGGATTTACGGCATGTCAAGTCCTGATAAGATTCTTTGTTTTGCATCAATTTCCAAAATGGTAAGCCTTTAAAATTCACTTCCCTTGTGCTAATTAGGTCAGGCAGGAAGGTTAGCTGCATTCTTTTCAATATTTATTCTTGGATTAGATATTACAACACAAGCACAATATATACGTCCAGTGGGTCAATAACGTGATTAGTCCTCGAGACCCTATGGCCCTACGGCGATTAGGAACCTAAAGACTTTCTAATTATACCCACCACCTTCTGTTGCTTAAAGTTAGGACTACATGACCCATATCTCCTTATCTTACCAGAATCATTTGATTAGGTCCTAACCGGAATCATTTGCCTATATTATAATCAACAAAGTACTTCTATGATTGCGTACAAAGAGGGTGCAAGTTTCAGTTGTCACACTGATCCGACGAGCTAAAGAGAACTTACACACCTAATACTGTAAGATCATGCCAGTTGAGATTGCTTCTGGGATGGTTAAAAACACTTTCTAACAATGTACACTTCGCACAAAAAGTTAAAGTGCTTATGAAGAGAAGTACTTGATAGATGTTTCTTTACAAATCTTCTGAATTTTTAATGAAAACTTCTAGGTGTTTTTAGGAAAATCACTTATTGGCTCAGAGTGGAGGGATTTTATTAATGTGGTATTAATCACTTGATAACGACAACAATTTATGTTGCTTTTTTCCTATGGATTTGAGAAAGATACTTGTTCTTACAAATTATTTTATTTGCATACAGCGAGAGCGATAAACATGAAGAGAAAAACTAAAACATGTTCAAGACTTGATCATGTTTGCCAGTCATAAACCTTTTCCCAGAAATTCCCCTTGATGTGGAATAAGGACAGTCCTTGATCTTCCGCTTTCCATATGCAATGAGCCCCCGCACACCTGCCACTAAACTTATCACTCGGAAAGAATACATTGATCTTATGAGCATGGTAATTCGAGTAGGAGAAATCGCAATCCCAAACTGACTCAAAGTCGAGGTGAAATTTCCATTCCCACTCCTGGTTGGGTGGAAGGTAACGAACACCAAGATCATCGTCCTGTGACCAGCAATGGTATGTGAGTTGTTGGTTGTTGCCAAGATTATTAACAATACGCACAAAGCGCTTTCGACCAGGCCATAAACCGGAGGTGGCACTTGGGCCAAATGCCAAAGCAACGAAAAGCGAGGAACAACTGCATAACTGTATTTCCCTTCATCTTTCATTCGACCTGAGTGTGTTATTTGATCCTGTATATGCATTGTAGCCATCTGCTTTTATAGCAGAAAGAATGCTTCATTTCTTCATCAAATTATTAATTGTGAGGGATATGAACCATATGATAGGATCAATTAGGGTATAATGTTCGTAATCTTACCTGTTATAATGTCTGCACACATGTAGGGAGAGCAAAATACACATAAGGAAAACAATTGTTCTATATACAAGGAAAAAACTGCCTTGTTAACTTGAATCCATCATCTGAGTCAAAAGGATAGAGCATGTTCTTATATGTAATGTGCATATTCATATAGAAGTAGATACGTAGTATACATTCCATAAGGTATTCCAACAATTAAACCGTTATCTTTTCATATTTCCTCAAATATTCTCATTAAGGTTGTAATATGCATGAATGTTCATATAGAAGTAGATACGTAGTATAGATTTATAATCTTTCTTTTTTGTCTTGACACAACATTCCATAAAGTATTCCAACAATCAAACCGTTTATCTTTTTTATATTTCCTCAAATATTCTCATTAAGGCTAATATTTTGTAATGTTCTAGTATAGATTTATAATCTTCCTTTTTTGTTTTGACACAATATTCCATAATGTATTCCAACAATCAAACTATTTATCTCAAATATTCTGTTCCAAAATTCACTCAAATTTGAAACCATCCTTAAATTAAATTGTAGTCATTTAGAACATCATTCAGATATTATCCACTAAAAAATTAGACAAATTCAAAATCATTAAGACATTTATTTGTAGTAAAAAAATATACGAATACAATCTAGTAGTATTTTTCTTCACATGTAAGTGAGAAGTCTTAGATTCAATTCTCGTCAAAGGTGAATTTAAACCACATTATTGCTAGCCCATTTTGAAGCATAACCGACTCTCCCACCCCTTATATATATAATATCGTTTGTTCAAACAAAAAAAGAAGGACAAATACGATTCTACAAAGAAATCCTAAACTCCTAATCCAATAATCATATAGTTTCAGATTTAGATGATTTTTGATAAATATGGTCCTTGAAAGGGAAACCTAAAAAATAGAATGTTCGGGATGTTGAAATGCATGAGTCCCATAAAAAAATTTGTAAAAATTGTGGAAGAAATTGGTCGCACGGATCCGTCTCTTTAAGAGATATTGTTAATTTTATGTTATAAAGAATTATATTTCTCATTAAAGCTAATATTTTGTAATGTTCTAGAATTCGAATTTAATCTTATTCACTTTGAATAATATCGTTACTTCAAACTCTAAAATTCAATTTTTAAAAAAATTTTAAGTTCGTTGATATAGCATGAGTGAGGCTTAGAATAGGTTTGTCATAATAATGTAGTTCAACTTCGCATTTGGTAATAATCGAATCTAAGACCTCTCATTTATAAGTGAAGAAAAATACTATTAGACCGTAGTATTAAGTAACTATTTGATTACATGTTTGTTGCATGATTAAAATAAAACACCCACCTGCAACCTCATCTCCAAAAGAATCCAGCGTCTCCGCTTAGTTCTCCCAAAAATATTATTCTTGTCACACTTTTCATATATATTTGTATTATTGTTCAAATAGAGATATGACCAACATGTATTCACTATCTCTACATATAGTACAAATGTAGTATGAAAATATGGTAAGTGTAGCATTACTCTTTAATTTCCGTGCCGGTCATCTCTTTCTCTCTTTGCATTGGAAAATTATTGGGTCATGAACAAGGCAAAGAAAAGTTGTTGTTTATGCCAAGTGTAATGCTAGAGAGACTAAATTTGTAGACAAACTTTGTAAACTAAATGATATAAAAGTTGATAATTGGATTATTACTTAAATGTTAATAAATCTACTCATTTTCTATTGATGACACATCATTTAATTTACAATTTTGTCTCCAAAATTTAATTTTTGTAGCATTACCCGAATGCTCATCTCCTCCACCCCTTTCTCCATCCTTCACTTTGACTTCTTGTTTCCATGGCAGTCATGGCTGTCATTAACCAACAATTCAATAGCTTTGTCAAAACACAAAAATGAAAGATCCCAACTCCAATCCAAAAGAACAATCTGGAACTTGGGGCTGTTCTGCGACTGATGAGTCTGCTGGGTGAATTCCCAGGCTCAAATTCGATTGATCTGGGCTCCAATTTGCGGGTTCTCTTGAGGAGGAGAAGGATAAATGATTTGACAAAATTACCTTGTTTTGTTCTTTTTTTACGAAATTTTACAGAATCACGGCAAACCGAAGCAAAAAATGAATTTCTACGTGCAAATACTTTGCTCACCACCCTAAACTAGTGTGTATGTGTATGGTAGTAATCATACACCTAATCATTTGTAATGTCTCATTTCACTTAAGTTTGGTCAATTTTTTAAAAAAATTAAAAAAGTAATATCTAATGT